ATACATATACATATACATATACATATACATACATATATATATATAATATGTGTGTGTATGTGTGTATGTATGTGTATACATATATATATATATGTGTGTGTGTGTGTACATGTGTATTCCTTTCAGATTTCAAGCGGAAGTAGTTGCAAGCTGCCCCCGCCGGCCTTTCACGTTCTCGATCGAGTTCGAGCTTGTGGATAGGGATCGGCGGCACCTTGCCCGAGCACACCACTCGAATGCAATGCACCAAGATCGATCACAACAGCAAGAACTTGAGTCCCAACCACCAATTGCCCAACAGCAGCTCGATTCTGCGCACAACATGACAGCCTCGCAAGAGAGTTCCGCCCTCAGAGGTCCATCTGTCGAGGATTTGGCTCCTGCACGAGGCGTGAGGAAGGGTTCAGACCCAAGAACATTGGACATGTAGTGCCCTTAAAACATCCCGAACACATGCAAAAAACAGCCCTCGGAGTCCTTCCGAAGGCGCTCTCGAGGCGGCTTCCTGGCCCCATTGCCTCGGCTTGCTGTAACGAAAGAATACGTGGTTCGATCATGGTTCCGGCTTTCCCTGCAGAACTCCAGGTGTTAGATCTTATGTGCACACCGCCCTGCACTCACCAGGGCTTGGCTTGAGGGTCCTGCCCGCAACAGTGGGACTGTCTCCAGGATCCGTCTTCACGGGCGTCGCGACTTGTTGCAATTCCGGAGTTGGCCGTTCAGGGGACGCTCGAAAAGAATCCGAGGCCAGCACTCTGCTTTTTGTGTTGCTCGTGTTTGTTCTGCAGCGTTGCAGTCGTGGCCCAGTAAGCGAGGACACATTGAATTATCAAAGCTCGGCTCCATCCGTTTAGGACCAGTTTCGATGTCAGCTACACTGGCTACACTGCAATATCCTGCGACTCGTTCCACAGCTTCAACAATGATGTCTTTGCGGGGAATCTTACCGCACTGGCACTGTGCTCGCCAGAGCACGTTCGGCAATGCACGAAACAAGCTGACTTTTCGAGAACTCAGCATGCACACAAATCAACACATACATAGCTGCAGTGGAACGCCAGCGTTGCCCGCCTCCGCGCGCAGCCCTCAAATTGTGCTTGTCAGATGAACGTTCTGTGCTTGCAGTGATGGGTTTGCAGATTGAGAAAGTTGGACCCATGGGTGAAGATCTCCGTTCACGAGTAGAAGATCTAGTCCTATAGTACTGAATAGTCTACAGGTTCAACTGTCCAGAAAAGCCACGGTAATCAACAGCCGGCAGTGCATGAAACCATTGCATTCGTTTCCTGATATGTCATCCGGGTTGCCGCGGTGATGCCAGCCGCCTGATCGCTGCAACACAGCAAAGGGCAAGTGCCGCCGTTGACAAGTACGGCATCACCAAGTTGCTGTCAAGCCACCGCATCGCACCGAATACGGACACCCCGGGGCGACGCACCTGGAACACGGCTGTGGTTCGCTGCGTCCGGATGCTGATAGCGACGTTTCGCGTCTGGCCGTGTCTGGTTGGAGGCAGGACGACCTCTACACGGCTCTACAAACTGCCTCTGGCAGCTTTGGCGCCGTGTTGCCGTGTGAAACCTCGATGATGTTGATATCGATGCCTGTGCTCGCAGAGTCTGAATCCCGTTCTAGGGCTAGAAAAAGGCCGGACCTTCCTCGCTGCGAGCCTTTCGCGGAAGGCTGCAGCTCCTCTTTTCGCCTTCGAGTAAGCGATTCAACTTCTGCGGAGAGACTTGGCTTCGTCCGAGTGCCCAACCATCAAGCGGAGCCTCAGAGCCGCGAGTGAATTTCCAGACCGGCAAAGGCATGTAGCGCAGTCTTCAAGGACCCAGCCTTTGGAGGAAGTGGGCTGCCACCACGTGATCTGGCGCCTCCACGTTCGTTGCCAAACCTCGCCCACCGCAGTTTTGAGCTTTTCTGTTTCGCTGTGGCGATCTGCTTGAAGCTCAAGGTCCCGGCGCAGGACTTGTGGGTGTAGTTCCAGCCAGTGCCACATGTTGGGGGCGAAGCTCCAGCACTGCCTGCGGGACACGGACATCTGGAGATCTCAAGATTGACATGTGTCCTTGCTCGAAACGCCTCACAAGCAGAGGAGCAGAGCACTCGGGAGTATGCCTACAGCGAGATGCGTGCGCTGCTCAGCCACGCTCCGCGACTCATCGCGACTCTTCGACCTCCAACGTTTGCAGGAGCGTCCTTTCCGCACGACCTTGCTCCTGGAGCTCCTGCCAGGTGGCAAGGGCGGTCGCAGTCTTGGTGAAAGTTCTCAAGTGGCTCTCCACTCCTGCAGCTCCCGCCGAAAAGCCCCCAAGAGCACCTGCCAGTTTTACCAATTTCCAAAACGGGCCACGAAGGGTCAAGTCCAGACTGGAGCCACACCTGACCAGCAACAGGAAGCCGACCCGCCAGGTCCTGGGTGAGGCGATCTGAATCTGAATCTGAGATAAGTCGAGAGATCTGGATATCGACATGTAGTCGAGCTGCCGAAGTCCACGCGACCGTGGATCGGCACATGCTTTCCTTGGCGACATGAATGTGCACTGACAAAACCATGACAGGATCAGAGACCTTGAAAGTTGCAACGCTGCTGTGTACTTCAGCCGCTGGCACATGTCCCTCTTGCACGCTGGAGCTCCCATGCCCAACCTTGGCTCCTGCACCACACAAGACATGCGAAGGCCACTGGGCTGCGAGCTATAAGCTACCACGACCTCAGCACAAAGAGCAGTTCGATTCGGCAGACTCCTGTCTCGGAGGGCTTGCGAAATCTTGCTGATCTCCGGCTGCACGCGCTGCAAGGCTTCTCTGGCCTGTCGGCTTGGGTGAGCATGTATCTCAGCGGCTTTGTCATGATTGCAGTTGCAGCGGACTTCCTAAGCCCCTAAGCGACCATGGGACGGTACTGATAATGTCTTTGGAGCTTCCCTCCTGCTTCTCGGGCCATTGCTAGTGGCACAGCAGTGTATTCGCACGCGGTTTCTGTGTATTCGCACGCGGTTTCTTCTCGGAATCGCGGCCGCGGAGAGCACATGCACGACAAGGCCATCGCAGCATTTCAGACTGCGTGTAGCTCGGCTCCCTGCGATGGCTTAGCATCCCGTGTGCTCACAATGGTGGGCTTAAGATCAAGATCCGCAGCTAATGAGTCGACATTCCAAGGTGCACACAGCTAGCTACACCGCAGGAACAGCTAACTCCTTTTTCACTCAACCGCGCTACCGAGTGTCGTGCAGATATAATCTGGACTCGCCAGGACATAGCTTTGGGTTACTGCCGGTAAGCATCCTCCTCTCCGAACACTCGGTACGTCGGAGGTGTATGCCAACGAGGGACACACCCGCACGGCATACAAGTCACTAGTGACTCGCAACTCTGCGCAAGCCTTGCATAACGGGGGGTCTCCACAGGAGGCCGAGTTATCAACACGGGAGGGCGGTCGGGTCAAACAGCAGCTCGCTCGCGCTCTGTCCGACAACCAAAGAAAAAGGGCACCAAGGGCAAAATGCCCGCCGAATCCATCCGGGCGACTTCCCACAAAGGCAGAAGGGTCTCATGAAGAACCACCCCGCCACGCTGCTTCGGATGGCATCCCACACAAAAGATCTGCACCGCTGTTTCCGGCCTCATAATTCAACATTATCACGCGTCGGCATGCCGGGGACCCAGAACGAGGGCTGCGCCAGAAGACGACGGCCGGTGCATCAAAACCAGGCAATTTTTCGAAACGTGGCCTAAGGCCATCCACAAGAGAACGCTGCCGGCATAGCCCCGCGAAAGCCCCCGCGCTTGCTTCCCACGTCTACAGTAACAGTGGACTGTGCTGGCTGTGGCATAAATCGGACAGAGCTTTCTAGATGTATATGACGTAAGCATGCGAAGCAGACCATCCACGAGCCGAGCAATGGCATCCAGGTCGCATGCCCGGACTCATAGGCCGCCTTTACCTTCCGCTCGAGGTCGATCGCCATGCACGGCTATGCTGGGTGCTTGCTTACCGTCCTGCTGCCTAGCTGAGGTCGGGCGGGGAGGTGGCCGCAAAGACTGAACATCCCAAGCGAGCGTACCGTGCTTTGAAAACCATTTCAATGCCTCAATGCTGGCACGGCCCTAGAGGGCCCACTGGTGCCTGCTGTTAAGCAGGATGCCAAATCAATCACATCCACATCCAGCAGTCCTTCCGCCCGGCCCTCATGCACCCATTGGAACCTGCTCAACTTCGCTAAGGAGCGGATGTCGTTCTTAACTGTGGCTGCCTCGGCGGCCTCCATCTTCTGCTCCGCAACTTGCCGGAGTTAGCCCTTCCACTCCTGCAGTTGCCGTTCCCGGGCATGCTTGGGCCGACAAGCCCCAGCCTCTTCAAGCAGCACAGCCAACTCCTCCACAATACCGGACGTGTCACCAGCCTTGCGTGCCGCCGTCTGCCGCGGCCTAGCCCGAGCAGATAACCTCTTCAGCTGAACTTTTCTTGCGTCCAGGGTCGACTGTCCAGTGGCACAACAGCGGCCGCCTGATACGCCACATCCACAGCATGGAGGCCAGGCAATGGGTCCAAATTGACGGTTCAAATCCCTGGACGCAGCCAGCCAGGCATCGGCGACAACCGCGCCTCCGAACTCCATAGCCTGCTGCCAAGAGCCGAATGCCCCACCAAAATCCTCGGGCGACTCCAAGCCATACCTGGTCCTGGAGACCCTTACACTATCAACCGGATCACGGATCGGAGCGCCTGACTCCGAGGGTCACCATGTCGGCTACATATTGGCTAGCCAGAGAACTCCATGCCATGCGATGTGACTTGCATAGCGGCATGTAGCGTAGAACTGCTCGTGGCACACCAACAGAACAGCCGCTATGTATGTGCACATACGCTGAAAGCACATAGGTCCAGGCGGCCTACATCCATTCAGGGGTCACACCCCCCGGGCTGTAAAGACGGGACACTCCGCTCGACCAGGAACCTATCCACACGTCCTACCTGCGAATCATGGCCCTCCTGAAAGCTCAAACTTCACTGCTGCCAATTTGGCTCACAGCAAACCCAACTGGCAGCAGATGCAACCTTTATGAATGAAGAGCGTGCACCCAAGCCTGCCAGACTCGACATGCTCTTAAAGATCAGACCAGGAGGATTGCGAGAAATCCAGCGCAGCCAGATCTCGTCATGCCATATCTTGCAACAGCCAAGACTTTTTCTGACGGTACGACGATTTGTTGAGGAGGTGCGAACGAGCTTCACTTCGTTAGTTCGGTTTGCATTTGAAGCTGCACTCCCGAAACGCAGCATGAGCGAGGGCCGCGAGAGGCTGTGCTGCTTATTGAGTTAATCTAAGATGGCTTTGCTAAGTTGTCTGTCAAAAAAATGCGTCTGAGCTTCAGTTCTACAGCGTGCTTAGCTATGTCGTCCATCGCCGTGCGCGGCCTTGCTTGTCACTACTTGATGCAGTCATCAGTTTATCTCCATTTCCTAGAAACCCTAAATATCTAAACAGGCACGCTGCGCAACATATCCTTCTGTCAACGATTCTTCATCAGTTGCCAGAATCCCAGTCATGGCCTCGGCCACCTCCCGCTCTGCAAGGCGCTCGGCACGGGTTAGGAGCTCCGCAAGCCTCGAATGAGTCCGTTCGTCAGAGATCATTCACGGTACACGAGCAAAATGCGTGCAAACAGCCGTTATACTGTAGAGTAGTTGTCGTGGTCGTTGTCGCAGTTGCGCGGGCAGTGGCAGCTCCAGCATTGGCAGTCGCAGTAGTAGTAGTCGTGGTGGTGGTGGTGGTGGTGGTGGCGGCGGCGGCAGCGGCAGCAGCAGCAGCGGCGGCGGCAGCAGCAGCAGTAGTAGTAGGAGGAGTAGTAGTAGTAGTAGCAGCAGTAGTAGTAGTAGTAGTAGCAGCAGCAGCAGTACCAGTACTAATACTAGTACTAGCACTAGTAGTAGTAGTAGTAGTAGTAGTAGTAAGTAGTAGTAGCAGCAGTAGTAGTAGTAGTTGAAGAGCGTTAGGGACATGCTCTTCCGCCGAGGCCCCCATAAACTGCTGCCGTCTCCTTCGAAGAATAGCTTCAACCTCGTAGAACGACCCCCGAAGGAATCCCGGAATCCATGAGGCAAGGCGCGCGGCCTTACGGACTTT